CATCACCGGCGGATTGCATCCGGCCAGACAGGTTTTCGGCCAGCAGATCATCCGAGCCCCCGCCCCCCAAACACCCCGCGCGGCCCGCATTTTCCCGCCAGGTCGGCGGTACTGAGGGCGTTGCCCTGGCCAGAAAGCAGGATAGCGCGGTATGCCTGTGCATCAGCGGCGGATTGCATCCGGCCACAGACAGGTTTTCGGCCAACAGAACATCCGAGCCCCCCAACACCCCGCGCGGCCCGGAATTTCCCGCCAGGTCGGCGGTACTGAGGGCGTTGCCCTGGCTTCTGGTTCTGCCGCCCGTGCGCGCGCCGCGCGGTATGCCTTACCTCTTGGCCCGGCAGGTGCTGGGTCCATGGTGTGGCCGGTGGGGCGGCAAGGGTTGGAGACTGCGGCAGCACCAGAAGAGCGACCAAATAAGGTCCGCGGTATGTGGACGCTGGCTGAGCCACGCTGGCAATCAACCCGATCCGCAGATTCGGAAATCAGTACTTACTGCCTGTCATCCGCTGATTCGGCACACACGTCTGCTGCCATCCGCTAAATTAGCGGATGGGGTGCGCGGCTTCCGGTCCGCTGGAAAATATCCGTTAACGCCCAAGCGGAATCCGCAGAGTCCGCTGACTGGCACCAGCCGTCCGCTGCCATCCGTGCCACGTCAGCAAGAGAGAGAGCGGGGTCCGCTAAATTAACGGATATTTAACGGACGGCACCCTCGTCCGTTATTAACGGATCCGGGTGGCCACCTCTACTGTCGTGTGAACGAACGGGTCGATCTGTACTGGAACCTTGGGGTGATTGGGTCGTGTCGTGTCCGGTTGGATGAGTGAACGGGGAGACATGACGAGAAGGAGTGAACGCATGGTTGCCAGTTGTACCCGAAAGACGATCCTTTAATAAATAGCCGCGGGGAGTCTGTCCCTACAGCTCTCCGGCAGGCCCCTGTGTGACGAACCGTGTCCCAGCCGCCTGTACGATCCCGCCACCGCGCCACAGCCCCCCGACCGACTCGGCCAATCACTGGCCTTGCCCCCTTGCGGTACCCGAGTGTCCGTAAGCCGGCCTAAGGAGCCCCGGGGCCCTGTGGCGTATCTCACACTCCCGCTGAGTGGTGAGTCCGGTGCACGTGGATTCCGGAGTGACTGAGGGCTGCGCATTACGCAAGGCAGGCGCAGTCGCTGGTGCTGGAGTGCCGTAGCACCCTACCGAGGTGCCGATCGGCTGGTACGCGCAACGGTGGACACTAGGAGGGAGTTGCGACGTACGGTTCTGGTGGAGGCCTCGATGGCGAGGTGCGATATGAGTATGATTTTCCCTGGAACGCCCATGGAAGGAGCTGCCATCATGGCGGCGTTGGCTGGCGCTGTCGGACGGAGTGTGCGATTCCTGGGCATTGGCATCCATTGGTTTGGGGAACTCATGGTTACCCTACTCGGGTGGCTGGCTTGGATGCTGAAAATCGATGAGACAACAAAGAATACGATTCTGGGGATGGTCAGGGTGGTTTATAATGGCCTGGCCCTCCTCATTTTGTTCAACATGACTGCCGCCATTTTCTGCGCAATGGGGCAACTTCTGCACCCCCACAGTGTGCTGTTCTCAACGATTCTTGTTTGGCAGTTTTCAGCACTTCAGTTGTGACTGTTCGCACACCTGGATTCTCCAGACTGGAGAGAACCTTACTGATATGTAGAACACAGCAGTCGTGCACATGCATGGAGGCACTTGTGTGGCGGAAGCAGGGGAACACACGTTGCCGGCCTAGCATTCTTCAGCCTTGTCTCCAAGATGGCAACCATTAACAGCTATTTGGGTGGGGCAATCAGCTCGAAAAATGCTAAACTAGAATGATCCGTTTCTAAAAATGACGATAAATCTTGGCAAAGTAGGCAGCTGAAAGCAGCGCCTGATGAACAGCAAGAAAAACCGAGGCCTCAATCACTAGCAATGCATCAATGCATCAATGCAGCAATTGTGCAGCGCCTAGCCGAGTAGCCAGTGTGTTCACAGTATTGGTCCACAGCATCAGAGTTTGTGCCCCTTTGGGAAGGCGCTATTTCGAGTTTGGTACGCTTTGCGTTAAATGAACACTAAGCTCAGTGTCTGAGCCTCCCCCCCGCCCCCGCCCCCACCCCCACCCCCACCCCCACCCCCACCCCCCACCCCCCCACACACACCCTACCCCCCTTTCTTTCAGCATTAGTTCTTGTCTCGATGCCAACTCAGCAACATTACCTAACTGTGCGATACAGCTTCAAAATGGTTCTAAGAGAAAACGGCAACAGTAACGATTGCAGTGGGTTGCAAAAGTGGGATTCTAAAAGCAATGGGCAACGGACACGATTGTACTCGATGGAACAGCAGCGGAATGATAATGGAATCATGATGTTTCAACCTTGGAAAGTTAAAAACAAACACCGGCACTCGCAAATTAGGTCTGGGGTAGCAGCGCTGGCAGCAGCAATCCTAAAGCTGCATTACGACTCCACACTGCAGAGTTGGGTAGCTGGCAGCTTATAGGCGATATGGGCTTACTAGCAAGCAGCAATTTTGTTTGTGTCTCAATGTTCACTTCCACACAGATTCCCCCCTGGCCCTCTTTACCACGAGGTTCCCCTCCCCCGACACGAGATGCTGCCAAGGAAAAATATCCGTATGCATGACGTTATTTCCCAATGCAAAAGCAGCAGCTACCTCCCAACCCTCGCAGCGCTGCCAAAAGCCGTGTCTCTGACACCCGTTCAAGTTGCCGACTAAAGACCATGATTGTAGATTGATCATGCCTTCTTTTCCGAGATGGGTAGCTAGCCTTGGCGCGGGTTTGATTCCACGCAATTCCTATTGCACCTCATCACGCCTCTTTTCACAGCTCGGAATGTTCATCCTCGTCCTTCAAGCTGTCGGCAGAATCTTGAACGTGCACAGACAACTGCTCACCCAACCTTTTCTCAGATTCCTTATCAGCCCCCGCACAAACTCGACCATCGTTGCCTTTAACACCAATGTACCCATTTTGGGCGGCGCTGTCCTCGATTGGATTGTAGTATGCGCTGTTGGACGTGGCTCCAGGCGCAACTGTCTCAGTTGGAATCATTTCGCACTGTGAGCCAAAAAAGCGTGCCAACTCGAAGTCACGACCACGGTCCTTCCACCTGAGGCACGCAAGCAGCATGTCCTTCCTGTCCGACACGGGGTGCTGTGACATGCGGGCAGGAGCTGCAGCCAATGTTATAGTAACGTTCTCAATAAAGTGCTCGTTTGCCGCCAGCTTTTCCCTAGCTTGGTCTGCCGTGAGGCATGCTCCGCCACAGGTATCGCCGAAGTTGGGAGCACCGGTGTCGTCCCAGACACCAGATCTGCTGGAGCAGTCCTGATTGCAGAAGGGCACATTCAGTGCAGATCTGAAGGGAAGTTCCTACTTTGCTGCCAATTCCACCTGGAACAGTGAATGCTTCACTGCGAATCTCGCATCCCTGGGTGGTTTGAAACTTGGTGCCAAGCCACCATCCTCGTCCGAGCTGCCGCTCAAATGCCAAAAGGCAAACTAACTGACAATGTGCAGCCAGAACTTGCAGCAATAAGAGCGTGCCATGGAAGAAGGAAACAGGCTACAATCTCTGCCATTGGCAAACTCTAAAGTTGTGAGCATAATCACCTGCGATGCAGGGCGCACGGCCCCGTACCAGTGGGGTGGCCATCGACAACTGGCTAATTTCCTTAGCTGGATCATGCCATGGAAGGAAGGAAGGAAGGGGAAGGATGTGGTTTGCTTATGAATGGTGGCCACAGAAATGGTTGATGTGACTCGACTGCTCACAATAACTAGTACAGCGTTCTCCGACAATTTTTTTACCCTGGTCTTTTTGCCGCCTGCAATAAACTCCATCGAATGAAACTGTGTCTCAAGTGCTCGACAGATCAGTCGAGTGCCCTATTCAATTCATGAATCGAGCAGATTCAGTACCAGTTTTGCCAACGAACTTTTGTACCTTTGGGATCGCGGAACTGCACAACGGCAGAAGAGGCAGCATATTCAGCCAGCCCAGGAATGGTGTGCTCAAACTGGTGGTCACTGCTGGGCGTTCGCCGCTCAAGCATAAATGAATGCAACATAGTCGTGTACGGGATGTTTATGTTCACTGTACATAAAGGAAAACTTCCCTTACACAACATAATTTGTTTTCAATTATACCATAGATGAATTGGAGCTGCTGTGATTCAAGCGAACGGATCTGTCCCTATCTCATCACAAATATTGACTATCAAACTGCACGGTTCAAAGCTGCGAATAGAGTACTGGGAATTGGTGAATTCGCGATTTGCAAGTAAAATGTGTGACTTCAACTCAATGAATTCAGTTTACTACGACCGACTATGTCAGCTTCTACTTACTAATAATAATATATATAGCATATATATATTTATATATTTATTTGTATTTACATTTTGTTGTTGCTTTATATATATTTATTTATATTTATATTTATATTTATATTTTATTTTTTATTTACTTATTTGAATTCCAATGTATTACACGCTGATCTAAGCAAGGAGCTCCCCCGCAAATCGTAAAGTGCAACGGGATCCTTTCCCAGTAGGAGCAGATGAAGGGTCCCAAAATATATTGATTGGTCAGAAACAGAATCAGAAATGTGAAGTGCGCAGTCAGAAATTAGTGGATCCCGTTGCCACAACGCCGCTAATTTTGATGCCAGAATTCATTGACAGCTGTGCAGCATTTATTTTGGACTGCACGGTCTGAATCATCAAAATGTGCCGTCAGACCTCCACGAATTCTGTGTCAAGGAAAGAATCAATGATTTTGACCTGAGCCAGTTCTGTCGTCAGCACATTATGAGCTTTGCTCCCACAAATCAATGAGTTTCGTTGTCAGAACTCAGTGCACTGCTGCCCACAGGTGCCAATTGTGAGACAACTTCGCGAAGGTGTCCTGGGATGAATCTTTTGCGAGGCGAATTTACAGCTATTCAGAGATCCAGGGAACAAATCCAGCCAGCATTCAGATGTGTTCTTCCATCCTGTCTAAAGCTTTGATCTTGACATTTTAAGACGGCCTAGGCTGTGGCGGACTGCAAACTGATCGTCTACCAACTTCCACTGGGTGATTGCAGTACTGACTGTTGGCAGTCCTCAAATTGTTGACCTTCTCAAGAAACACATCGCATTGTGCAGGGATTTGCCGGCCACCATTCAGGACTATTCAGTGCAGGCAGACTTTACCGTCTCCAGCACCTGGGGATTTGGCCTGTGGCTGAAGAGGCACATGCCGGCTGCCCTGCGTGTTCTCCAGCCGGATTTCTTCAGCAGTTCCGCCATCAGAGCGTCCTGGCCCGCAGCGGGTCCGCTGCTGCCCAAAGCCGAAAACCTGCGGTCCTCTTCGACCAGCCGAGTCCAACTCATGGCGTTGGCCCCAAGATCGGTGTGGCAGAACTTGAGGAGGTTCTCCTGCAACAGAAGGCGCAACAGTGGCTCTCACCCAAAACTTCGTGATTCCGCCTGCAGCTCTGGGTGCCGCACTTCATTCGGCCCTCGGCTGCTCCCCTCCCATCTCCCTTCCCTGCCCACCTTGCAGGGCGGCCGGCCCTCTCCCTTTGAGAACCTATCGCAGGGGATCCCCGTGGGGTTGTAGTACCGGCTGAAGAAGTCGAACCCCACCAGCTCCGCCCCAGACGTCGCCTCCCTCCCCAGCGCCTCCAGAAACCCCGCCCCGTACTCGTTGTCCCCGTTGGTCACCACCACCCACGCCGTGCCAGGCCGACACCCCCGCACCGCCTCGTCCGTCACGCCGTACAGGCTCCGGTGGTAGCCATCCGCCCAGCCCCCGCCCTCCCCCCGGGCGGCCAGCTCTCGCCCGACCAGATCCGCAAACACCCAGATCCTGTCGTCCCTCAGGCCGCGCACGAGGTGCGGCAAGTCTGGGAATGTCATCGAGTCCACCACCACCAGCAGGGCCTCCCAGTCGGCGTGGCCCTGGGCTTGCAGGCTGCGCAGCAGGCGCTCCAGGCTGTTGTCACCGTGGGCACCGTGGCGCCAGTACGTCCGGACGACGAAACAGACGCTCCATGATGCGACTGCCCGTTCGGCGAGGCTGCTGGCTTTCGGGGAGGGCTGCCCCTCGGCCGACAGCAGGCACAGCAGGCACAGGAGCGCCCAGGGGCAGGCCTGACGCCAATGGCCACGCCGCCTGACGACTGGCCCTCCCGGGGGCAGGCGGACAGATGGCACCGCCATGCGCAACGCGTCAATTGGAGGGAGAACATTGCGTCCTGAAAGGACGTGGCCGATGATGTGGTCGATTTTGGGGTTGGGAGCAGAACGCTGGTGTTGGGCATCGTTCCGGCATTCGTTGCTGTGGCAAACACTTGAGGGCTGTCCTTGGTCGGAGGCCGCCGAGGCACGATGCTTGAATGGCTGTCGTGGCCGGGCGTGGCCATATTGGGCCTGGCGTTGTTTATCATCTACCGCCTGCTGGATTGGTCGCCATTCGCGAAGGCCCCGGCTCCTGTCGTTCCGCAGATCGGGGACCTCACACTCCAGGGTTTGGAACTTTACTGCGGGGTGGACCCGTTTCGACCTATCCTTTTGGCGGTTAAGGGGGTCATCTACGATGTGACGCCATCCAGGAGTTTGTACGGCCCAGGTAACGGATGGACTGACCCTCGATGCCTGGAGACCAAGGCGTCCCCCATTTGATCTGCAGTCCCACAAGTGGCTTTGTGCGGAAGTGTCCCGTGGCGCACTATTGCAGCAGTGCCATGGACAGATTGGGACCGAGCGTATGTGGCGACAAGGGACGGTGTGGAGCGATGCTGGTGCTCACTGGCAGACAGATGCATCACCGAAGACAAGATGGAAGTTTTCTCTCAATACCAGTAGCTGCCGCCTTCCCTCTATGCACAAAGATGAGCACGAGGGGGAAAGACGTGAATTGTGCACCATCGACAAATTGTGGCGTCTTCGTCCCGTAGGAGTTTGGAAACCACTTATGGTTATTTTGGCCCCGCTGAGTGCTCCTTGGCAAGACAACGGCAACGACAGTGGCACTCAAGGCTGATGGAGGCATTGAGTGCTAAGGCTAATCGAGACCTTTGGTGCGGGGATTGGTGTTGCAGGCTCTTCATACCATGCCTTTGCCGGAAGAGAATGCAGCCGAGCATTGGCGTGCATGACTAAAGATGAAGAAGACTGCTGTGCAAAATTGGACGACCTTGACGAAGAGCAACTGGCAACGCTTGACAGCTGGATCGAAAAGTTTAACAAGAAATATCACGTTGTTGGGAGAGTAAGCTCCTACAGATTCCACACCCCTTGTTTCGTTCCTTGTTCTGCAATCAGATCTCACTGTTTACATTGTTTACTGCAAAGCCACTCTGGCTGGTGTGCTTGCTGTTGGCCATCGCAACATCGATATTCAATGATTTGTGCTCAGTTGCTTGTGAGAGAATCGAAAGCTTTTAGCAAACAAAATTCTTGTGCAGATTTAGAAGCATTGGATACAGTTTTGCAATGGGTAGACACACACAATTTGGAATCCCTGAGTCTGTTTCTTGCAAGTGTAGAATGATGAAAGGCATCGCGGAGCAAGTGCAGCCATCCAGCATGAACTTCCACTCTGATGTATTTTGACTACAAGGACATAGTGCTGTCACTGCCCTACAAGATTAGATTTCGAGAAACAGAAAGCACTTGGTCATCTGCAATTGTGTTATGCCAATGTGAATTGATGCCAGCCTCCCATTTCAATCAGCTCCAGTCAAACAATAGTGAGGTTGGCAGCAGCAGCAGCAGCAGGGAGGCATTGTGAACAAACGGGCAAGCTGTGAATGTGGGGTGTTTTGTTGATGTCCACCCCATGATGTAACAATCCTGAAAACAATTGCCTGTGGATGCCAACAGGTCGTCCCGTCCAGAGAGTTTACAATTGAAGAACTGCAGAAGCACGATGGCCACGATCCTTCTGTGCAGATGCTGCTGGCTATTGAGGGAGTGGTGTACGATGTGTCAAATGCACGACAGTTCTACGGTCCAAATGGTATGAGAGTTGTCTCGAAGAGGACAGCATGTCCAACACATGTCCTGAATATGATATCATCCAGTTCATGTTTGGAGTACACAACAGTGTCGTGTTTCTCCTTGAGCTAAACAGTTTGCAGCTGACAGCAGTCTCCTTGTTGTCCTGGACTTGGTCTTGATGCACCAACCAAGTCTGGTGATGCAGCC